CCTAAACCCCAAACCCTAGATTTAAAGCCCTAAGGTAAATCTGCAACCTTTTTGAAGGATGCACTTGGCGGAGCCAGCCGATGCAACTGCAAAGGAGGGAAACTTTGGATTCGAGGCGCGCAAAGTGAATTTTTGAAGAGGTACAGGGGTTGGGGCGTGGGGATATGCAGGGCCAGGTTCATATTTTGCTAACTTTGTAATGCCCGGAAGCCTTAATCCCTACATAATACACATAGAGCCAGCGGAAACAAAAAAACACAAAAAAAACAAAAGACATCGCGCCGTCCAACCTATCCTTGTTTAAGGATGTAATGCAGAGGTTGCTTAGGATGGGTTCTGTGGGGATATATAATGGGGTATAATGGGCAACGAAAGGGAAAATGAAATGGACACGGGGGTTATGAATAAGTACAACTACTGGAGAACCAAATGGAACATCACATGGAGAATGGAATGGAAACTGCTGTTCCAGGTTAGGGCATTACCTTAGATGTCTGGTGCATATTGGAGGACCCTCATTGAGAGAGAATGCCACAAGATGTGCGTGGAAGAAGTCCTAATGAACTGGAAGAATTTGTAGAACCAGTATCAGGCTTTAACGTTCAAGATGGCTGCCAATGACAACGTGAACAGCTTACATTATCATATATCATATACGACAGGCGGGAACTCAAATCTTGAAAGCTCATTGTTCAATCCAATGATGTCATTTGCATGAAAGCCAACAGGCATAAATGAAAGTCTCACATGCCTAACCTTGACAACACCAGATGGAAGGTTGACAACACCATCGGCGGCACGCCGCAGTCGAATACATGGACATGCCGCCCCTGCTGTTCGGTTTCATCGAACATGGGATGTTTTGTCTTTTACTGCGTGACATACCAAAACAGCAGCGTAAGGGCACTTGCAACATGATGTCTTTTGTAAAGCTGTACACTGTATACAGTAACCGTTCGTTGTTTAAGGAAGGTTTTTTCTGACAAGTGCCTCTGTGGGAGCTACGCGGACAGCACAAGCGGCTGTGAGCCATCATACTTTCAGTTTTCAATGCGTATTGCTTACCCTTGGTGACCTGCTGTTAGCTGTGCCAACTGGGTAATTTGGTGGAAGTTCAGGACTAAGGGCGCGGGGCTCCTTGAGGATTGCAGTGGGTGCTTTGCTTCCGAGCTCTGCTTCGCAGTGAGACTCAAAGCCGATACATCTTCGTTCCTGGCTTTTTGCACAGGACGAGCGACTGGGTGGAATTCGTGCGAGAGCACCGCTTGGGAGCCCAGGCTGGTCTGGGTTGTTCTCAAGGGACTATTGACATTTGGGCAGTGTAGGAACCTTATGGCCGTTTTGGCAGCAGGTGTTTTGAACAACTACCAAATGCCAAGCTTTGAACTGCTTTCTTTCTTGTGCTCTGCTTTTACCTCCGCGGAGTGATGCTTCTACTGTTAGCCGGGGACCAGGCGTCCGGAACACGTCAGAGGATTGGGAGGTAACATAAAGCAATTTCACGCTGGATGTTGAGAGTGTGATTGCTTGAGGATATTTGATGTTGTTCTGCAGGAGGAAGGTAGTACGAATGCAGAAGACTGAGAAGATTGCAGTATGCCATCTAGCGGACAGAGTAGACTGTCAGACCAATTGCAGCGGCATGGCCGTAATTAGCATGATCGTCCAAGCATCAAATGAAGTCTCCCTCAACTGAAGTACTGACCACCGATTGTGTGATGAGTCAAAGGTTTCCAAACTCAAAGTCCATGCCACCCAACCCCTTCTTCAAAACTGGATCAATGTTAGGATCCTTAATACATCCTGATACCTTTTGGGGCGTGGGATATCTTGCGGGTAATCCGGTTGTTGGCATTAGACTGGAGTAGGAGAGCGACATGTTTCATGGATTTGGGACTCTACTCGCGTCAACTTGACAGTCGGATGAAGACAGGGGTCGGATGCGGTAACATGAAATCTAGAGGCTCAAGCCTCAATTTTTTTTTATATATCATTTTTCATCCAGGATTTCATTTCGGGTCCCTGTGGTTGTTTGCAGGTTTTATTTCGTGCATGTTGTTGGTCTCGGTGGAGAGGTGAACCCAGGAAATCTTATAACAGGATTCATTTCGGTGCGCTGGGCAGCTTCCCACTG